CTGAGTATGAGGAGGATGGAGATCAAGACGGATCCGGGTGGTCCGTCGAGGATCTGAAGTACTTGTACCACCGGAAGGATATACGCGACTTTGTACGTCAGGATCCGGTGATGAAGATCCTGAAGTTGAAGCGGATCGCGGAGCCAAAGGATCCAGTAAGCGATAGTAACCAACAACCTCGACGCAGTAACGATCCTAATCAGGCTGCTGAAGGAAGCCGGCATGACCCCCGGATCCTTCGAGACAGATGATCTGTTCGATCTGGATCTGACCGTGATACAAGCCACAAGATGAGATCTCTTTGAAAAGCTGAAGATCCTGGTTGGCAAAGTTCCCCAGATCGCGGATCCGGTATCATCACCCCAGATCGACGCAGTGGACAACCTGACGGTCTCATCACCTAATGAATCTGTTGCTGAAGACGGATCCGACACCTCATCGGAGACCTTACGCATGTCGCTGGAACCTTCAGGCACAGCAATGCTGGAGGTGAGATCCAAGATCCGGTGTCCAAGCCCAACCAGATCCGGCAGTCAGCCTAAAGGATCAACACCAACTGACGAAGCGACAATCCCTTCGAGCTCGGATCGGTCGACTGGAACGCTCCAGAAGTTCTTCAACACAGCGATGGATCGGTTCCTAGCTGAACAACAAGCAGCAGGTGCGGATCCAGTCGTTGCGGAACCTTAGAACGCCGGATCGCGGGATGTCGACATGGAGTCGATCCGATCATCGGATCGCGGATCCAATTGGGAATATGATCCGGACGACATCGACTTCCCGGTGCCCGCCCAAGCGGCCGTGACCACCGCCGCATCCGGATCCACTGGATCCACCACGATCCAACGAGTCCGGATCTCAGCGATCTCGGATCTGAAGGAGTTCTCAGGAAGGGATCCGGACGAGGATCGAACACGAGCTTGGATCAGCAAGGTCAAGTCGGCCTTCATGCGAGATCAAGCATCAGACGAAGAGAAATGCTTGACCTTCGCCGATCAGCTTGCGGGATAACTGGTACCGCCAACTGAGCCGATCCACGCGTAATAAGTGGAGCGATCTGCTTCGCAGCTTCCAGATCCAGTATTGCGGATTGGAGTATCGGTGGCGAGGCAATACTATCATGCGCGTCGCAGACCCGATGAATCGCCGTTGGACTATCTGTACCGGTTAAACGTTGCCGGATTGCGTGCGCAACTCAAGATCAAAGATGGTAGTACCAAGAATCGGCGCGAACATGTGGATCACTTCACTGAAACACTGGAGGATCGGCTGACGTTATTACGACTATCGGATGCAGATGATCTGGAGGAAGTACTTTGTGCGCGGGATCGGGCCAAAAGCCGACAGAAGAAGGCTGCAGTCGAATCCGGCAAGTTCCGACAGAAGGCGTCAAATGCTGCACCGTCGGCTCCTGCCAAACAAGTGCGAGCGATCCAGATCCAAGCGGCTGACTCCAGATCCGATACTTCGGACGGGTCAGACGGATCTGACTCTGAGATGGACAATCATTGTCGGATCTACCTTGCCGCGAATCAAGAAGTCGCTCCAAAGGAGGAAAGCGAGACGATCATACCGGATCCGGGACATCAGGATCCGGGATCCATGAACCATATCCACCAGGAGCACCGATCCAAGATCCAGGGTGACGGATTCAACCGTAACCGACGCTCGCACTGCGGATCCAAGAAGCACTCGAATCTCGGATGCTGGAGACGCGTGACTTGTATAAAGTGCGGAAAACGAGGTCATCCGGCGGATTATTGCCTTTTGTGTATCGCGGATGTGGCGAGCACCATGACATGGGCAAACGCCCGATGGAGGAGTTTTACAACCAGATCCGCCAATGATTCAATCCGACCAAACACATGGGTATGATGCCGGAAGCTTCCTAAAAGATGTTAAACTAGGACGCTCGTCAGGGTGGAATCCGATACGAGTCGAGCGTTCTAGATATTGCATCTATGCATTTGTGCATAAGACATCGGCAGATCAAGTTAGCAAGCAGCGAGATCTATCCGACAATAAACGTGATCTGCATGGGAATCATACCTTCGCGATTTCCAGTCTTCGCCAAGCTGATGAATACGCCAGATCCGATGTGACCATGACTGTGGATCTTCATCCAGGAGAATCCAGAGGTTACTGGAAGCAGAAGGATCCGTATCTGTGGTTCAAACCTGCGGATCAGGAGACTACCACCGAGATCACGAAGCCTAGTCGGATCGCGGAGTATCGACGATCCGGATCCACACCAACATTGGATCTCCTACCGGGAGAATCCCGCGGATACTGGTCCAGCTCCTGGTAAGTGGTTTCGTCAAGCCAAGATCGTCGGTAAGATCCACAATGAGAAGGCGATCTTACTCCTAGATACTGGTGCCGAGGTGTCCATCGTGGATACCGCCTTTGCTCGTAAGGCTGGGTGCTACATCGACTCGAGTCAGATCCAAGATTGTGTGGGGATCGGCGATAATGTGTATCGGACGGAAGGAAGAACGCGGACCAAGGTAACTCTCGCAGGATCGTTGGTGTATTTCTTCGATATCTGGGTAGGGGATCTCTCGGGACAAGAAGCTATCCTAGGCCTGGACTTCATGGTTCCGGCCGGGATCCGCCTGAATCTCGCTCACGGATCCATCAGCTTGCCCGACGAAGTCCGGATCCAGCTTAGCGGAAGGCGACAGCTTTACAGTGACAAGACCAGGATCGTGAATCTTGGGCAATACCTGAGGATCCAGCCAGGAGAATCAGTGGAGCTTCCCTTACGCCTGAGTACCTCGGATCATGAGAAATTCTGGGTCACTCGTGGAGATCATTGGGTCCCACGATAGTCCATGGCCCAGGGAAGATCCGATACGTAAAGATCACGAACGTCGGTGACAAGGTGGTGATCCTCCATCAGGACTTGCGGATCGGGATCTCGCTGGCCGGCGATCCTGTCCCGCGACTGCCAGGTTTCATCTCAGTGGGGTCCCGGCGCTACATGGAGTGGCAAAATCTGGCCCTGGAAGCGACCGTGGATTCCCGATCTGCGGGCCCGGATCCGGAGGCTGAAGATCCGCCGATGCCTGCAGTGGAGCACCCCGAGTATGAAACTCCGCGCGACATACTGCAACGACCAAGACCGACAGCGATCAAGTGTCTGAAGGGCGGATCAAGTGGAGATCAAGAGGTTTCTGACCACCCGCCTTCGGATAATCCACCGTCGGACAATCCGCCGCTGGATTGTCAACCGCATCCGTCGCAAGTGATGAGTCGGATCTGTCGCCTATCGCAGATGACGACTCTATGTCGCATGTTGTAACGGTCGTGAAAGCGCTGGAAGATCAGGATCCAGGCGTATCAGGTATTACAGCAGTGGATCTGGCCCTGGTCGAGGATCCAGCCGTGGAAACAGCATTGGCAGATGAAGCTCTAAGTGATGTTACTGGTGCGAATCAAGATCCGCCAGTCCAAGAAGTCCAAGATCTGAAGGTGGCGACGTTGAAGGGTGATAGGTCACACCCACCATCATCGATGGGTGTAGAATCTATGACGAGCCATAAGCTGGGTGACCCGTTGGACCAGAAGGACGCCACGTCTATGTCGCAGAAAAAGGACGAGGATCCGGCAGCTGTTCCTGAAGATCAACCTGATACATCGGATCTGGATCTCACTTGGGACTCGGATCAGGATTACGACGAATGCGTGTATTACCACCACGAGGGCAGTGATCTCTACGCCGAAGATGTCGACGGACAACTAGCGGTACTACCCGAAGTCCCAGTAACGACGGAAGATGTGAAGATCGAGGATATCCAATTGTGTGGATCCGACAATCAGACGCCAGAAGAGATCGACCGACTTCGCCAGCGGATTTCGAAGTTCCGTCACCTCCTGATCGGCAAAGGAAATGCGCTCCCACCGGCAGCCCGAGGGGTTGTGTGAGATATTGATGTGGGAGGAGCTCGGCCGATCGCGCTCAAGTGTCGTAAGCTGCGGATCCAGTTCCGAGAGAAGTTGGCAGAGTTGATCAAGGGTCTCCTGTCAGCTAAGATGATCAACCACTCAAGATCTCCATGGGCATCGCCGATTGCCGTGATCATCAAGAAGAATGGTGTGGACATACGATTGTGCATTAATTATCGGTTGGTTAATAGTCTGACACAGCTGATGGTTTACCCGATGCCGCTAATCAACGATCTATTGGAGGATCTCGAGTCTACACTGTGGTATTGCTCACTTGACATGGCAATTGGTTTTGGGTGGTGAAGATGACGGATCAGGCCCGCCTGCTCTCGGCCTTTATTACCCCATTTGGACTTTTTGAGTGGAATCGGATGCCTTTTGGGCTGAAGAATGCGCCGCAGATCTACCAGCGGATGATCGACAACGCCCTGTATGGGTTCACTCGGATCCCGAAAATGGCCGGCGATTTGGAGCGTCTGGATGTATTCGAGGCCGGAGAACGTGAAGATCCGGGCAAACCATCGGTGTTAGGACGCAGATCCTATATCGACGACATCTTAGTACCAGGATGATTGGGATCAGCTATGTGACCAATTCGAAGATCTTCTGGAGGCGTGCGACAAATGGAACTTGTCGATCAGCGTTGTCAATAGTTTCTGGGGTATGCCCAAGGTAGAATATCTCGGTCACAAGGTACTGGAGGCAAATCCGAAGGATCTGTCGGCGTTGACGGATCTCGAGTTTCCCGGATCCCTGCGTGCCATGCAATCCTTTTTGGGCAGTCTGAACTATTATAGTCGCTTCATCGAAGATTACGCGATCTACGCGTCTGTGCTATATGAGTTGAGGGAGATCGACTATGCTGCGATGGAGAAGGACATGAATCGAAGCCGGATCCAGCTAGCACTAGCGTCGGAATCCCCAGATCTGGACATGTTGACTACGGATCCGACAAGTCCGCAACCCTCGGATCCGGACCCGCAGGGCCCGGATCTCGAACTTAGCAAGCAAGATCCGAACCTAGTGTCACGGGATCCGATGCCTGACTGCGTGAAGGTGTCGAACCCCGAGAGAGACAATCTTGCAGATCTGGATCCCCGGTGGATCCATGCTCACAGATCCTTCAAGGTGTTAAAGGAGAAGATCGCGAAGACGCCGATCCTACGTCACTTCGATCCAGATCAGCAAGCGGTGGTGGTTGTATATGCCAGTGATTGGGCGATCTCCGGTGCAGTGATGCAAGAGTATGATCAGATCTACTATCCAGTGATGTTCGCGAGCCGTACGTTGAAGTCCAACGAATTAAATAACGGGGTCGCGGAGAAAGAGGTGTTGGCATGTTGCGGATCCTGGATCTCAACTATAATACTTTAGTTGGGAGACCAATCCGAGTGTTGACGCGGCATTCTACACTGGCTTGGTTATTCAGATCCAATGCATTACAAGGCCGCCTGGGACAGTGGGCCGCGCTACTGGGTGACCCATTACACCAGCCTCCAAGGTGGACATCAGGGGATCGGACGTACTTACGATCGGATCCGGGACCATTTTCACTGGAGAGGATTGTACCGAAGTGTACAAAGATATGTCGGGGAGTGTGTGGATTGCGAGACTGGAAAAGGGCGACCCCAGATCCAAGGCGAATCGCCGGGTAATCTTCAGCGACTTATTCATTTCAGATCATCGCTATTGATCACATCCCCTCATTGCCCAGATCCTATAAAGGTAACACTGAGCTATTGATCTTCGAAGATCTCTTCTCGGAATATGTGATCGCCAAAGCGAGCGGATCCACGACGGCTCAGACTGTTGCCGAATCCTACGAGGAATGTGTGTTTCGTCGATTTGGTGCCAGTGAGGTGATCCGCCATGATCGTGAACCCGGGTTTATGTCCGATTTCTTTCGCGCGTTCAACAAGATCCTGGATCAGCGTCAATGCGCAACAATGGCATATAGACCCCAGGCGAACGGATACGCAGAAAGAATGGTGCAGACCACCACAAGGGCACTTAAGATGAATGTCCAAGATCTGGATCAGCGAGATTGGGATGAGTATGCGGAGCGACTTACGTTCGCGATCAACACCGCTCGGGATCGGATCCGTGGAGAGACGCCGTTTTATATGGTCCACGGTTGGGATCCGAGATCAACACTGGAGGCGATGATCCCGATGGGAAGTACCAGAAGACAGGATCGGGATCCGCGGAGATGGCGATACCGGATCCAGAGCCATTACCAACAGGCACGGGAGCAGGTGAATCAGCGCTTACGGGAGGCGATTTCAGACCGGGCGGATCAGCACACTGATATAGTGCGCCCGCATCAAGTCGAGGCCGGATCCCGAGTCTGGTTATATTTGGATCGGGTGCGAGAGGGATATGCCAAAAATCTTGCACATCGGTGGCATGGCCCCTTCCGTATGTCCGAGAAGATCGTCGAGTATGCGGTGAAACTCGAGATCGCCGGATCCGCATACACTATCTTCCCCGTGGTCTACGTGTCAAAGATCAAGCCTGTCAGAGAATTTCCGGATCGGCCGGTAACACGTCTTACGACACAGGATCAAGATCGGCTGGATTTCGACGAGGTACTTCTCCCTGGAGATAGATGGAGTCAAGATCGCGATCCGGACGAGTATGAGGTTGAAAGGATCTCGGATATGAGGACTGGCAAGAGAACAAGATATGGTCGGATCCTGCGTGAATTCTTAGTACACTGGCGTGGGTACGAGGATCCGACCTGGATCGATGAGGCGGATCTCAACTACGGAGCAATACTCCACGAGTTCTTGCGGGATCGCGCCAATCAGAATCGGTTTGGCGTGATGCAATCTCACGAAGAGGCCTAAGGGCAAGATCCGCATAGGTGAGTTGGTCGCCAATGCGAGAAGTTTAGGATGAAGGATCTGCAGGGAGGATGCGGATCGGAGGAAGGCAGGTACATATTTGGATATATCACAATGTGCCGAAATTTATAAAGGTCAAGATCCGAGATAATGTGGAGGCGGATCACGAAGTACGGACTCTGAGGAAAATAAGTGTGCAAAGATCGGTGGAACGAAATGAAAGGAGACATATATTAGCGGCAGGATCACAGATCTGCTAGAGCGTCAGATCCAGCAGGTATCTCAGGATCGGCGGGTGTACTAGGATCCGTGGGCGAGTACTCTCCATGCCAAAGAACTTCTCCACCAACCGAGGGATCTGATGCGCAGAATGATCCGCCGCAGAAGTGCGGTAATGGTTTCGCCATGGATCCGCTTTGTCACATTCAGCAAGTGCCTCGATCAAGTTGGCGGGATCTGGCCGACCAGCGCGACGCGCTTCAAGCCCTGGGTACCAAGTTACATCATCGGATCTCTTGGGAAAGTGAAGAAAGAATGGATCCAGCAGGAGATCAAGATCGCACTAACCTTCTTGCATAGCCAACACGAAGATGGGTAAGATCCTGCGCCAACGATCACCAGCGTGTGATCGCCGATTGTTGCGCGCCTTGCAGAGAGCCGCCAGACGAGGGCGCTCCGCACCCATACGCTTGGTGATCGGGAGCTTGTGCGTAGACTCCCAGTATACGATGAGATCTCGGATCTCCAACTGCAAATACTCTTCCAGGAAGACGCCAAGTCGACCACCCACCAGGATCTCGAAGCTGATCGGGTCAAGTACATTGCCTCCACCGAGGATCTCCCAGGGAGACTCGTCAAGGAGGGCCTCGATGTTATCGGCGGTGATCAGATGAGCGCAGTAATCTGCATCCGAGGGAGGTCGAGATCACGGCGTGTGGTGAGGGTAGATCCACTCGGGTCGGAAAGGCAGAGCCGTTGCAAGAAGATCCATGATCGACCATCGACACAGATCACCGAGTATCCAAGGATCGATACCAGCCGCCGAAAACACACGAACCTGGATGCACCCTGGAATGCATAAGCTGTCGGCGAGAGGACCCTGAGGATATATAGCTGGATTTGGAGGTGGGTGATTGCCGGCAGGTGGATCAGCAGGAGGATCTGGAGCATCATTATCGTCGTCGCCAGATCCATCATCGCCCGGATCGCCGCCTCCACCACCACCGGTACGACGCGGAGAAGCGTGATCACGCCGACGTTGCGCGGATCTCGATTGGGCAATGGCTCGAAGGATGTCCTCTTCGAACATATAATTCGCAACATCCTCAGTCTCATGATTGGTGGAGGGAGCAGAGCTGTCCGGATCCGTGGTGTCTTCATGATCTTCATAGTTGTCTGCAGCGTGACCCTTGGACTCTTCATCACCGCCAATAAGATCCAAGATCTGCGGTAGAGGACCATCACCCTGATGCTCTGGTGCGGATCCCTCAGCCTGGCGCTTCGACGGCGTATTATCGTTGCTCGAGTTACCAGATCCGCCGAGTTCCTGAGCAGATCGAATGAAGAAGACGAACTCTCCGGATCTGGATCCTTCCTACGATCTTGGCCGCCATACTCATCATTGCCTGGATCATCATCTTGTGGAGATCCGCCGCCAATGTCGATATCTGCCGGTTCTTCCGCCAGATCCTCGTCATCTTCGTCTTCTAGGGGTTGCGATTTGCGCTTAGAGGGACGACTGGGACTGGATGAGGAAGACGGACTACGCGAACGTTTGGGGCTCTTCTTCGAAGGGGGATCAGATCCGCCAGTGGACGGATCCTTACCATCTCAAAGTGATTTCGACCCAGCTGGCAGAGGGTCGTCCGTAGGTGGGGATTCGGAATCGGGATCTTTGGGTGACCCATCTCCGTCATTCTCGCTGGAAGGATCTCAATCTGACTCGGATCCTAGACTCAACGAGGTGGTTGGTGGCGACGATCCCATAGCGTTGGCGATCTGACCCAGTATGCGAAGAGCCCGACGAAGTTCTTGCCGGAGATCCGTTCGATCTACAGTGAGGATATCGATGTCCGTGGAGGGAGCCTGGATCCGCGCTGTACTTTCAGTAATCGTACGTTCCCGCTGCCCATAGGCCTCTCTAGCAACGGCTACGTCGTGATCTGCACATGGGAAGTTATGGTGAGGCGACATTGGAGATATGTATACAAGATCGAGATACTCATCCCGAGCAGTGACGTCGACATGGAGGCGATCGCGCTTTCGAGTGACTTCTTCGAGCTTTTTCTTGGCGGCAGCTAGTTCATCTCGCTCCTGATCTTGGTCGTCAACGATCTTCTGCATCTTCTGGCTGAGGGCTGGGACCTCGTCTTGCCGAATCTGGATCTTCCCAAGGGCAGCATCGCGTTCGACCTTGGCTTGAGCGAGCAGCGCCCTGAGATTACCATCACTAGAGGAGGCGAGATCTGTGTCCATCCGTGTGATCTCGGCTCGAGAGAGTCTCAGCACCTCCTCGGTGTTACGAAGGCGCTCCTCAACCTCGAAATGAGCTATATTGCCACGCTGATATTCGTCACGGAGATCCGAGATTTCCTCACTTGACTGCTGAACATAGGCAACCAGACCGTCGCGATGAGAAGCCAGATCATCGCGCTCACGAAGTAGATCATTGCGGTCTCGAGTTAACCAATCACACTGGTCGACCAAAGGAGCAACTTGGGCCTCGAGATCGGCGACTTGGGATTCCAGACTGTGGATCCGGTGACTCTGGTCTTCAGGTAAATCGCGGTCACTACGATCCAGAGTGTCTACAGCGAAGTCTCGATCCTGACGAACGCGCTGGATCTCCTGCTGCATGAACGCGATTATCCCGTCCTGCTCATGAAAATAATCTTGCAAGGCGCGGAGATTCTCGACAGCGACGAAATCTTCGTCAGCATCCATAGCGGTACCAGCGGCTAGACGGGCTTGGAGCTCACCGGTGCGTCAAAAGAGTTCCACCGAGATCCGCTGCAGATCCTCTAGCGTGTCGTCCT